CCAGTTATCTACTCTGTAGATTACAGCTTTAAGCTAGTACTATTGGACTGAAAAGGCTTTTCCAGCATGGAAATCCACTTTCAACAATATTTTACCAAGTGACAGATACAGTTGAACGTGACATAACTGCTTGTTTTTTCACAGTTAATGGGATACTTTTTGTATTCTGCTAAAAAAAAGGTGACTGACCAGCAGAAGGGAAGGCTGCTTTTGTCTGCTGCCCTGGCTGCTCTGCTCCGGGACAAGCGAAGCCTTTCAGAGGGAGGAGGATCCACTTTTTCCCCCTGAGCATTTGAGAATGTTAATCTCAAGGCAAGTTCAGGAACACAGGACAGTGTGGGGAGAAGCATTTCTATTTCATCTCACTTACCAGACCTGACCGTTCTCTATTTTAAAAATTATACAAATCTAGTTTATTAGCTTGTATTCTATTAAGCACTTTTTCCTATGCCTAGGAGGCAAGGAGGGGGTGTTGCACTGTACATGAGAGGGGCTCTGCCTTGTCAGAGGTCAGGTCAGGAGCCAGTCGAGAACTTATGGGTGAAGACCAGCAGGCAAAACAACATTCATGCTGTGGTAGAAAGTATCTGCTGGAGACCTCCTGACCAGGATGAGGCCTGTAGATGAGGCCTTCTTCAAACAAATGGAAGAAGTCTCACATTCACAGGCCCTCGTCCTGATGAGGGACTTTAACCACTCTGGTATCTTCTGGAAGGGCAAGACAGCAGGGCACAAGCAATCCAGATTTATGCAGTGCATTGATGACAACTTCCTGACAAAGGTGATCAGGGAGCCAATGAGGAAAGGTGCTGTTCTGGACCTCATACTTACAAACAAGGAAGAAATGGACAGGAGCAGCCTTGGCTGCAGTGACCATGAGACGGTGGAGTTAAGGATTCTGAAAAGAGGGAGCAAGGCAAAAGCAAGACCACAGTCCTGGATTTCAGGACAGCAGACTCTAATCTCTTTAGAGATCTGCTTAGAAGAATCCCATGGCATACAGAGAGAAGAGAGTTCCAGGAGAGCAGGTTGATACTCAAGGATCACTTCCTCCAAGCTCAAGAGAAGTCCATCCTGACAAATAGGTAAGCAAAGGCAGGAGGCCTGAATGGATGAGCAAGGAGCTCCTGACTGAACTCAGACATAGAAAGGAAGTGTACAAGAGGTGGAAGTAGGGGCAGATGACCCAGAAGGAGTATAAAGATGCCATCCAGTTGAGCAGGGATGGGATTAGGAAAGCCAAGGCTCACCTGAAGTTGAATCTGGCAAAGACATGAAGGGCAATAAGAAAGGATTCTACAAGCACGTAAACAGCAAAAGGAAGAGTAGGGAAAACATGAGCCCACTGCTGAACAAGACAGAGGATCTGGTGACAGAAAAGGCTGAGATACTGAATGCCTTCTTCACTTCAGTCTTTACTGCTAAGATTGACCTTCAGGATTCCTAGACCCCTGAGACCAGAGGGAGCCTGGAGCAAGGAAGACTTACACTTTGAGGAAGAGGACCAGGTTAGGGAGCACTTAAACAAACTGGACATACGTAAGTCCATGAGGCCTCATGAGTTGCACCCATGAGTGCTGAGAGAGCTGGCTGATGTCATTGCAATGCCACTCTCGATTACCTTACAAGGGTCACGGCAACTGGGAGAGGTTCTTGAAGACTGGAAGAGAGCAAATGTCTCTCTTCAAGAAAGGCAAGAAGGAAGCTCCAGGGAACTACAGCCTCACCTCAGTCCCTGGGAAGGTGATGAAGCAACGAATGCTGGAAAGCATTTCCAAACACACAAAGGACAAGAAGGTGATCAAGAGCAGCCAGCATGGATTTATGAAGGGGAAATCACTCTTAATCAACCTGATTGCCTTCTACAATGAGGTGACTAGCTTTGTGTCTGAGGGGAGAGCAGTGGATGTTGTTTACCTCCACCTTAGTAAAGCTTTTGGCACTGCCTCATATAACATTCTCATAGATAAGCTGACAAAGTATGGGTTAGATAAGTGGACAGTGAGGTAGACTGAGTACTGTATGAACAGCCAGGCCCTGAGGGTTGTGACCAGTGGCACAAAGTCCCATTGGAGGCACATTATCAGTGGTGTACCCCAGGGTTGATAGTGAGGCCAATACTATTCAATTTCATTAATTACCTGGACAATGAGAAGCAGTGTGCCCTCATCAAGTTTGCAGATGATGTAAAACTAGGAGGAGCGACTGATGTATCAGATGGGGGTGCTGCCTTTCAGAGGCATCGATAGGCTGGAGAAATAGGTCAACAGGAATAAGTTCAACAAAGGGAAGTGCAAAGTCCGGCATCCGGGGAGGAATAACCCCAGGCACCACTTCACACTGGGGACCAGCCAGCTGGAAAGAGAAGGATCTGCAGAGAATGACCTCAGGATCCTGGCGCCAAGGGAGGTTTAGACTGGACATTAGGAAAAATTTCTTTACTGAAAGAGTGGTCAGGCCTTGGAACAGGCTGCCCAGGGAAGTGGTAGAGTCACCATCCCTGGAAGTATTTAAAAGACGTGTAGATGAGGCGCTTAGGGACATGGTTTAGTGGGCATGGTGGTGTTGGGTTAACGGTTGGACTTGATGATCTTAGAGGTCTTTTCCAACCTTAATGATTCTATGATTCTATGATAGCAAGATGACCACAAGGTAGCAATGCATCCTGGCAGCAAAGGCGGCCAACAGCATCCTGGGCTGCAAAAGAAAGAATGTTGTCAGCAGGTTGAGGGAGAATGATCCTTCCTCTCTACTCAGCACTGGTGGGGCCACGTCTGGAGGGGCCAGTTCTGGGTTCCCGAGTACAAGAGATGGAGCTACTGGAGAAAATCCAGTGAACAGCCAGGAAAAAGGACATCTGTTATATGGAGGAAGGCTGGGAGAGCTAGGACTGTTCAGTCTGGAGAAGGCTGAGAGGAGATCTTATCAATGTGTATAAATACTGGATGGGAGGGAATGAAGAAGAGGCCAACAGACTTCTCAGTGGTGCCCACTGACAGGACAAGAGGCAACAGATACAAACTAAAACACGGGAAATTCCAGCTGAGCACAAGAAAAAACATTTTTACTGTGAGGACGGTCAAACACGGGCACAGGCTGCCCAGAAAGGTTGTGGAATCCCCATCCATAGAGATATTCAAAACTGGGCAGGATCCTGGGCAACTCTCTCTAGGTGACCCTGCTTGAGCAGGGGGGTTGAACTAGATCATCTCAGGAGGTCCTCATCAACCCCAATGATTCTGTGATTCTTCCTTCCTTCCTTCTCCTTATCCCTTGAAATTCAGTTCTCTGAAACAAATTCTTAGTAAATTTTTTCCTTCAGACTGAATGCCTTGCTTACATGCAACAGCACACATTTCTACAGAGATCACTTGGAAACAGAAATGGGTCTTCATTCTAATCAAACTATTAAACGCTCTCAAACACTGTATTTGAAATGGCCTCAGCTCATTAATTCGTGCTACAATTTAATTTAAGAGCACGCCATGAATATAAAAATCAAGAAACATACTATATTCTGAGCTGGGCTTATGGTCTTCTTTGAAAAGTCTCTCAAACACAGTCTTACCTCTACACACTATGAGTATAATTACATCCATGTGCTTGTTTAAGATCTCTCATTGATACCTGAGATACATCTGAATGAACGCAGTAACATTAAACCTGTGCACTAAATACACATCAAAGCTATAGGCAATTATATATATATATATGTGCACAGACATAGACCAATAAAAACATATGCAAAATTACATACAGTAATATTGCTTACTGCCAGTTCAGTAGATAGTCAAAGACATTTATTTGATCTTTTAATCTTTTTCAGTTAATTGCTCATTCTGCATCACTGAGGCCTGTTCTTGCCTACAGACATTAGGATCATAGAGAAGTGAGCAAAATACAGGTCTTGTCCCTCGTACTTATCAATTAACTAGCAGATTCAACCAAGATTAAATAAAAAATGACACTACTATCTTCTAGTGCTTTCTCAGTATTTCTCCAAGATTGTGGGGGTTTTTAATAAAAATGATGCATTTTAAACCTCCTGAACTGATTTCATTACATAACATATATTATAGATGAACTAAAGAAGTTTTCACTTTTTATTCTAATCTTATATATCTGCTATCTGACCCATCATGGGAGAATCAAAACGTTTTTCTCCATATAGAGAGAGACCAGCGAAAATTTGCATCTCAAAACAACGACGCACAGAAAATAGAAGAGGTATTCTTGGAAAGGAGCAAAGGAGGGAGGGGAGGAGGGAGCCTTTGTAATACACTTCCTTAGCTTAAATAGCAGTAATGTGTGTAAGAAGCAAAATCCGAATCTGATCTTGGAATAGTGAAATTTAAAAATATATTAATCCATAGTTATGAGGAGATACATTTGATCAAGCCTTAATCCAGAATTCAACTGGGATTTTTGCAAAGTTACACATAGATTGGTAGGTACTCTGATTCCTTCATCGCAGTCTAAGTATCTAATCCTCCTCCAGTGAAACAAATGGGAGACATTCCAAAATAATCAATAGAAGTTGGATGAGATCCATACAGAACAATATTAAAGACCAAGGAGTCTAATCTGTGCTGCAGATCGATTGTTTTTAATTACACAAAATATATGTACAAAAACATAACTTAAACCTGAACGCTTCCCTAAATACCAAATTTTCTGTCACAAAATAGTCACATGTACAAACAATATAAAAATACACCTGGAAAAAATACTGTTGCAAACTTTTTTTTTAAAACACAGGCATCAGAAGATACCTTTTTATTCTATATAGCTTTTAAAAATGCTGTTTTAAATACATCCTGAAGTCACTTTTCAGACCACTTCCAAAAAACACTCTTCCTGCTTGAATTTTTATTTTCACACTTGGTCCTGACTATTTAAATGTTCATGGAAAGAGAAACCAGTTCTACCTGCAGACTCAGGAAACAAGTCTGAAAATATCTCCCCACAGTATATTACCAACGGTATTTTAACACACTCACCAGTTTGCCACCAGTGGTCCAAGACAGGTACCTTGAAGACCTTTTTTGACCATTCTAGCGTGTCCACATCACAGTGCTCACCAGCTACAAACAACGTTCTGAACCTTTAAATAAAAATAAAAAAGTATATACCTTCAACTGGATGGGGAAAGGAAAACAAGAAAACAAATTCAATAAACATCTGTGGTTGGTTTCCCGGATGAGATAAAGAGAAAAGGGGAGGGAGAACTCTTAGTCCTTTTATGCACCGTACTTTACTGAGTAAAAATTAGAATCTTAGCAATATTAATTTATGCTACTTAAAATATCGTGTAAAAGGAGCTTTATTTTCAGAATGCAAAGACCCTGGTAGACCAGTGGCAAGCAACTATCAGTGGAAGTAAAAAATAATTAAATGCTCCGTACACAGGAATTAGGTAGGTATCTGTTAGGCAAAACGTAAGAATGAAATACCAAAAAAGGGTCAGAAAGATATATCAGAAAAATTAGTAAAGCAATAAAGAGAACTAAAAAGAAATACCTGTAGCATAACTCTTAGCTTTAAGTTGTTAATAATGTTCCATTTAAACAGATTTTAGTATTTTTCGAGCTGTTAAGTTATCCTTTTATACGCCTTTGGAAATAAGTTTTGGGGAAACAATGGGACCTAAAGCCATTTTCCTGTGGAAATGCTGGCTGTATATATACATTAAAAAAAAAAAGTAATCCTACTAGATAATGCCGATCACAGAACAATATTCAGCAGTGCTGGGTCCCTGATCACAGTACTAGAATTCAGCTCATTTCACTGGACATGCTGCAGCCAACTTTGGCAGAGAAGAGATGCAACACCTGGCAGTTCTGACAGATGTGATTTGCATGTTTGTACCATTAAATTAGGTAGTGCTATATCACTGGGTATTAAACCCATACAGTCTTTAACTTCATAATCTTTTATCGGATGTTTAGTCATGCTTTATTGTCCTTCATTAAGCATTACAAATTCACTTCACACCCTGTTTAAAATTGTAAGATCCTCTACGTCAATGGTAGCTTTCTTAAATATGACTATCAGTACCTAGAAGCGAGACATTACTGTACATTACTGCACGCTGCTAAGGTTTTGATCTTTCTAACACTTGCACAGTAGCTTTATTCATGTCATAGCAGATTTTTTGCTCTTCTTATTTCCTAACAAGCAACTTAAAGCCCTGTTAAATTGCATATAAACTCATGGATACTCGTGACACTAGACAGACAATGTCACCTAATATGATACTAAAGAGAAGAATAATTTACAATCTTGCCTCACACCTCCAACAAACAAATAAGCAATCCTCTTCAGGTAGAAACACAGAGCTTTGAATTCAGATTCATGATGTACAGATGAAAATGAACAGCCAACTACACTCAGATGAACCGCTGATTTATATTCAATACTTTATCATTAGTCCGAGTCGTGACAGCACGGTTTCTATTGAGAGAAATGCATGGTATTTATCTTAGAATCATAGAATCATAGAATCATTAAGGTTAATTATTAATTAATCTAAGATTAATAATTAATTAATCTAAGATCATCGAGTCCAACCATCAACCCAACACCACCATGCCCACTAAACCATGTCCCTAAGCGCCTCATCTACACATCTTTTAAATACTTCCAGGGATG